ACTGCTTTCGCATCACAAGACGTGTAACTAATAATAATGTTCGCCAAAAGTGATCTGGAACTATATTGTGGCTTAGAACTGTGGGTATATGAACACCGGGAATTGTAAAATCTCAGAGGGTAAATCCTCACTGAGGCCATGTAATATATAAACTATATATATATACAGTCATTCAAATTTGTACACGAATAGAATTTCCGAGTAGCTCCAAGCGGGTTTTCTATACGATATAAAAATCTACTGGTTATTTAGTTTTTTTTTGTTTCTGTTATATTATGTTATTATTGAACGATATAAATTTGTAAAAAGATACGCACAAAAAAAAAACACACTATAAATTATACATTTTTATAGTGCTCGGATTAAGATTTTAATTTGGTGAGTTAAAATGTATACAATAAATTTTATACTGTTATATTATATGCATCTGATACATGCAGTATAATGTTTATTAAATTATTATATGGAAAAGGAAAATAGAATAATTCTGGAAAATATGATATTTTCTATTCATTGTAAAACTATACTAAAAACATTGGAGTGCTAGGCATTATATCAATATCGTCATAAATAACGTCTTACATTTTTTTTTAGTGAAAACAAATTATAGTTTTAACATTAAATTGTTATCGAGGTAGGTAATTACTATGGTTAATATTTGCATTTATTTGATCCTTTTGAGACCCATCTATTATTATAGTAGTGTACTAGTGTATACACAAATTATGATTACCTACTCAACATTTTTGGAAAGTAATTTTAAGAACACGCCATAGGTTCACAAACTTTAATTACATGTGTATCATAAATTCATAACCCGAAATTTAAATACCTATTCATGTGTGTCTTTGATAATTTTCATAGAATACTCATATAATACTCATAGAATACCTAACCTAACCTAACACGAATTGTAAAACCAAAATTATCTTGAGCTCATTAACTCATTAATCGTAATATTTTATTTTTATTTTTATTTGTATTGAATAAATTCGGCTTTGACAAAATATTTAGACATTATAGCACGATATACAATCTAGTATAAATATTATCATCAAATATTCAAGAAATTAACACCTTGTGTCCGAGTAGTAATCAATAACCATAATATACACAATTAATTTCATATTCACGATAAAATTGGTCATAATATTATGAATTTATTGTAATCTACAATGTGTTAAGTATTTGGATTTGCTCAAAAAAACAGAATGGTTTACATTCATTCCCTGGATTTGGACCTATATTTTCTGCTTTACGATAAACAATTTTTAGTTTCTCTAGTTTGTGTCAAATTATCTGCAGCAATCGTCAAATATGTGATTGATTATTCCATTGATGTCTCACAATTGACATCAAGAATCCATGACGTGTTGGTTTGGTATACACATTTCTGGTCCAATTTAATAATTTTTTTTCATCTGAAATAATAGTATTTTGGTTTCCGTTCCATATTTATTACCGAATTTTGTATTCGGTGTAACTTGGTTGTTTGACTGTTTCACACATTTTTCACAATGAAAAGATGTTTTTTTTTTGTTTTGTTTTCTAACATCGGTGACGGAGAAAATATGTTTATGAATCGTGTGTCGGGGTAATCCGTTTATTGTCCTTAAAGTAAGAATAATTTATCTAAATGGATCCACTAATTATGTTTATTTCTGATATTTACCGAATAATATATAACGAAATTTAGATTCTGTGTTCAAATGTTGATTCGTTATTTGTAACAGTAAATTGATAAATAATATTATGGTGTGAAATTATACAGTATTTGATTTTCCATTGTTATAAACGGTTGTTGAATTAGCGAAATACGTTGTAGGATATAACAATTACATAACATAATATATGCTGTACATACACTATGTTTATTATATATATATTATATTAGACCGTAATCCTATGTGATGGTAATTAGTCATTATTAATAATAACTAGTCACTATAAAGCAAATGCTATTTTGCTTTTAACCAATCATGCTAGTATTATTCTCGATATATATTATATAATAATAGACATTTCATGAATCAAAGCTTAATAACTAGGTAGTTAGTCGATAAAATACTAAGTTTATAATTGTAGGTAATTGTAGGTATAGAATTAATAAGTGTGATATGTTATGAGTTAGACTAGTAGTGTTCAATTCATTATTTTTTTTTTTTAGTTGAGGCAGTTTTTCCCGAAACGAATTTTTATTTTGGTCAGTTTAGGTTATCAAATTTTTGATTTAAAACCATGCCCTAAAATCAAACCTTAAGAAACCAATTTATTGTATAAGTATAGGATTGTATACATAGGCGCCCAAGTACATGGGTGCTCAGGTGCTCGAGCACCCATTGAAAATATTCATTGGGTGTGGAGCACCCAATATAATTATAATAGGAAAACCGTTATCACCACGTTCATTGTATGACATCAGCGGCTACACGGCAAAACCTGGTTTTGATGACTTATGAAATTTCAACTAAGGCAAGGAAACTGAATATTAAGGAGCCAAATGATCAAAGACCTAACAAAAAACCGAAAAGGTTTATTCAAAACAGTGAACAAGATTCATCTCCATTGGGCCGATATTAGTTAATGACACTTTTAAACGTATATATTATGAAATAATATATGTTACTGTATCAGCACTTAATGGTAGATTTCAAAAAAATGCAGTAATCGATAATGTATGTTCATTAGAGAAATTTGTAATCGGCGAAGACAAATATATCACCGATATTATTACATTTTATGGAAGTGATTTTAACCGAGATAAATTGATATTACATCGAGATATGTTCTTAGATAGGTAATGCAAAATCTAGTGATGTCTCTATAAAAAGTTTACAAGACGCCGTAAATTTCATGAAATCTGATAGTTTGTGTGATATGTTATCAGAATTTTCCAAACTCCTACAAATTATCTTAACTATTCCAGTTTCATCTTGCACTGCAGAAAGGTCTTTTTCAGCATTAAGGAGGTTGAAGAAATTTTTGAGATCAACGATGACACAAAATCGTCTTAATGATATAGCTATTGCATATAGAAAAAGTTGTCAATACTTTTATAAATAAAGTCAAAGTCCGTCAAAACACATTTGCATTGTAATGTAAAATATTTTAATCTTAATTGTTTAAGCTTATAATGTTACATATTATGTAACAAAATCTTTTATTTTATTATATACTCGGTAATCATTAAAAATTGTCTTATATTAGATTGTAAATATGTTTGGTTACCAGTTTATAGAAAATTTAGTATGGTGAGTGAGGGGGAAAAGCCCTTCACAAATACTTGTGGCGCACACACGATTTTTTTCGGGGGGAGGGGGTATATTCTATTAATAATTTACCAAAGAGATGAATATTGTATAGGTAGCCCTAACATTATACTAGGCCTTTGAGAAAATTAGGGGGGTACAACCCTTTACCCCCCTCTAACTGCGCCCCTGCTTGATATCGGTAAGAGCACCCAATAGATTTTTGAAAACCTGGCGCTTATTATTGTATAGCAATGTCGTTTTTTAGGTGTCATTAAACGTAGCAGATAGTTCCTTAAGTAGAACATGTGTTTAGATTAATAATTACACGAATTAGATAGGTAAATATTTACTTGTTTGTGCATGTTTTGACATTTTTAAGGGAACTGAAAGTTCTGTATAATTTATTTGTCACAATTTTTAATTTTCTTCTACAAATAAATGGGTAATAACTAATAAGTAATGACTATTATTAAAATATATTTTGTTACCAATTATTTTATGATTTATCAATGATCCCCGAAACTACATTATATTTTATAATTTTCAGTTGTATGAAAGGTAAATAATAATTGCACGAAACTTATCTGATTTAATAAAAATAAAACATCACATTTGTATCATATTAGTGGTGGTAAGCAACTTTAGAAAACCGAGCTGAGTGAACTTATAACAATATATACTACAATAGTACATTACTATGCACTAGATTATTTGTTTCGCTCCCCTGAACGTTTTTAGAGTGAATAGTATGATCGCTTGACGTACACAAAGTTATTGAAGTAATTTAATAAATCGTATTTTATAGATCATTTATAGTTTGCGATTTTAATACATTATGTAAAACTGTCGATATACGAACTATATGAAAATATTTATTTGCACATAATATAATATTATGATTGTTTCAAAGAAATTTATCGGTGAACACATTTCATTATATTCTACAATATTATAACCAACATTCTATTGACAGTCCTTAAATTTTATTTTTATTTTACGTTAAAATTGATTTTTCCCATGCACGATTTATTGCATAGGTATGGGGTCTGATTTATTATAGTAATCATTGTTATGGACCAATAAAATGAATGAAGCGTTTAATATTATGACGTAGGGGTTTCTTCACATATGCTCAGTCCACCATAGTCGTTCAGATGTAAGTAGCTGTTTTTGTCGAACTACCTATATAATGATTCAACAATATTTTTTTATTTTTTATTGCTTGCACAAAACTTTTAAACGACTTAAATGTGTACAAATCAAATATTTTTTTATAGGTTTTAATAGAAAAGTCAAGCTGACCAAACTATATTTCAATATAACAATAAAAACAGTACCTACCAATAGGCTATAATAATAGTTATTTGTAGTAGCTATCAATTATGTTTTGCTCAGATGAGTATGCCTTAACTTATATTAATTAAATCATTCGGTGTATCATAAAAAACTTAATTAACAATACGTACACCTATAGGCTATAATAATGTAAATGTTATTGAAAACTTTACGGATGAATCCATTTATATGAATTACAGTTAATAATAGTTTGTCAGTTGACGTACTGTATTTCATTATTATTTCCTTTATCCAACGAATCATTCAATTAAATATTCTGTAGATTTGATAAATTATAATACAATGTTTCTGCTGTTACTTTGTATATTTTTTTTTTTTTTTTTTTTATTAACATAAAGGCTTCAATTACACAGATTATTAGCCTGAAATTAAAAAGTTTGTACATTATAATATTTACAGTTTTTTGTCAAGTTCTATTTTTTTAAAAAATTTGAAAATGTTGTCGGAGTTCTGTTGACTGAGGGCTTCTTCAATTGACCTTGGATTGTTGAGCAGGAAACGTGCGGTTGAGAATTTGGGGCAGACAATAATGATGTGTGCCATTGTAAGGGGAGTTTTACATGTGTCACACAAGGGGGGGGGGTTTCCTTGGTTATCAGATATGAGTGCGTGATATGGGAATGGCCTATTCTGGATCTGTTTATAACTATTTGTTCTCTCCTTGATGCGTTCTCTGGATATGCCCATTTGGATATAGATTTTTTTATGTTTCTGAGTTTGTTACTGGAGGGAATTGAATCCCAGTGATTTTGCCATGTTTTTATAATCCGTTTATGGGCTTCATTTAATAGGTCTTTACTCGGAATTTTATTTATGATGGTAGAGGTTGTGGATGTAACTGCTTCATTCGCCATCTTGTCGGCTTTTTCGTTCCCGGGGATACCTATGTGGGATGGGACCCACATAAACTTAATTTTGTTTTTCGATGAGGAGATAAGGTCTTTGGTAAGTTGGATTACTTCATTTTGAGGATGATGGTCTTGTAGTGAGATAAGGGCGCTGAGAGAGTCGCTTATTATAAGTGAATACTTATAGTCTGATTGTACGACGAATTGGACTGCCATATATAACGCATAGGATTCCGCTGTGAAGATACTGGAGAATGAAGGAAGTCGAAAAGTTTTAGCTTGCTGGCCGTCCACTATTGCGAAACCTGTTCCGTTAATACTTTTAGATGCATCTGTGTAGATAAGTGTGTAGTCGTAGTATAGGAATTCAACAGATTCGTAGAATAGGGCAACTATGGACGAGTTTGCAGTTGTGTTTTTGTTTTATTTGAGAAGATCCGTATTAATATCCGGGGACCAAGTCCAAGGCGCTTGTATAGGAAAGAGGGACTTCTTGGTTAAATCTATATTAAGATTAATATTCTTTTTTATTCGATTGAAGTTTTCAAAGATTGTAGTGGGAGTCTTCGCTTTAGTATATGGAAAATTTTGGTGGAAGTTAGAGAAGGATATATGTTTTGGCTGGTTTGAAATCTTGATCATATATTTAATCGTGTTACTGTCACGAATGATTTGCAGAGGAGGTTCTCCGGCATTACATAATATGCTGGCCACTGGACTAGTTTTAAAAGAACCAGTGGCTAGTCTAATTCCTTGGTTGTGAATCGGATCAAGTGAGGAGAGTGTCGTAGCTTTGGCAGTGCCATAAATGACCGAACCATAATTCATGAGTGAGAGAATTAATGATTTGTATATTAATATGAGGCTATTCTGGTCAGAACCCCATGAAAGGTTTGATAAAGTTTTAATAATGTTCATTCTACCCATGCAACTAGTTTTTAGTTTTTTGATGTGTGTTTTCCATGACAATTTGTGATCGAAGGTGAGTCCTAGGATGCGTAAGTTTTCCGAAAAATTTAATTGTGTCATGTTCAAGGTAATTGAAGGAGACGGTGAATTTTTTTTTTTATTAAATATGATGCCTTGAGTTTTTGAAGGGGAAAAAATAAAGCCGGTCTTGGATGACCATAAGGCAAGTGTGTTTAGAGACTCTTGTAAGAGTTGGGAAGAGGTTGCTAGGCTTGTTCCACTGCAATATATGTTGCAATCGTCTGCAAAGAGTTTGTATTTGACGGGAGAGGGAAGATTGTTGCCAATGTCATTTATAGCTACCAAGAAGAGAGAGACACTGAGGGCTGATCCTTGTGGAAGACCGTTCTCGATATAATGTGAGTTGGATAGGGTATTTTGGATTTTAACTCTAAACGAGCGATTGGTTAAAAAGTTTGATAGAAACTTAAACATGTGACCATTAATATCCCATTTTATGAGTGTCGATAGTACTCTGTCTCTCCATACCATGTCGTATGCCTTTTGCAGATCGAGTGAAATCAGAATGAGATGTTGGTTGCTTTTGAATGCTGTACAGATGTCTGTGTGGAGTGAAGATAGGTTGTCCATGGTAGAATAATTACGTCTAAAGCCGCATTGTTGGTTTGAGATTCGATTTGTCGATTCAAGGAACCAGATAAGTCTCTTGTTAATGATTTTTTCCAGGACTTTGCTCATGGTGTTTATAAGGGATATGGGTCTATAGTTGTGAATTTCAAATTTGTTTTTTCCCGGTTTTGGGATGGGGGATTACTGTTGCACTCCGCCATTGGTTTGGAAAGGTACCCTGTGTCCATATTGAATTGAAGATCTGGAGAAGAGTCGAGAGTCCATTTTCGGGAAGGTTTTGAATAAATGAATTAGGTATATTGTCGGGCCCTGGGCTTTTACTTTTGCTGTTTTGAAGGACTGATAGAAGTTCACTTAGGTTTAGAGGAAGGTTACTTTGTATATTATATTATTATATTTATAGTATATTATGTTTGAAATTAAATATACCGTTAGTAGTTTAAAAAAAACAAACAAAATATGTAGGCCAAGACTCAACTAATATTCTTTATAGTTTCATTGTAGCTGTGGATTATTGACTTATATAATAATGTCCGACTATACCATTGTACCTACGTTAAAAAGCTCATAATATTACATTACTTAAAAATAAAAAAATCGATTACTCGTTGTATGGCTAAGGGATTGGGTTATATACTTATATTCGTAATGGTACTCATGTAAAAATTATATACCTACCTATAAGGTTTTTATTTAAAATGTCTGTTATCCGTAAGTCCAATGAACAATTAAATGTTAAAAACTCATTTTATACTCACATCGTAACTTTGTTCTACTACCTGTATTTACTTTATCGGAATGATAAGAATATCTGAAGTATTCTCTTTCCTTTGTAGGTACATAGTTAAATATTTAAATCGAATATTCATATTTCGTCAAAATCATTTTTTAAGCTATTTATTGGAACTAGAAACGTATATTTTTATTTCATTTTCAAACAATACATTTATATTATTCAAATGTGTATTGAACAGTTATGTTTATTTCAAGAAAACAAATTACGTCCTTCAGTTGCATAAAAACTAAAAAGTGTTATGCCAAAACAGAAACGTATCTCTATATTGAAGGTGTTCAGATTTGTATTTAGTTCACAATATATTTAGAGCTAAACTACTAAAAGTATATGGTTTTTAATTTATGGTTTCAACATTATTAAAATATTTATACACGTATAAATTGTATATATAATTTGACCTTTTTAAAATCATAATGGTTTCAAATGTCAGGTTTCACTAAAAAGTTTTGGAATTATTACGGGGACATTTAATAAAATATTAATATGTGTAATACATTTATGTTTCGTCAGAATGTGATATTTACATAATAGTGGAAAATGAAGAAAAACCGATTATTTTTTCCCCCTATAACTATTTTATTTTTATCCCGGATATATAATACATATTTAGAATACTGATATTATTGCATGTTTTGTAACAACAAAATAAACATGTATGGAATCAAATTGTAATATCGTAATCGGTAATAGGTACTAATTTAATAAAAAATATCTAAATACAGTACCTACATAATACGGGTTGCAAGTATTTTGTTTATTCAAATAGAAACTTTGAAATGAAATAATAATATCTATACTGTGCGTACACGTATTGTATTACTATGAAATACAATTTCGAATGAACGGATTATTGATAAAATATTAGATTTTCGAATATTGGATATATTAGCCTTACAAATGATTTGGAAATCCAGAATCGTCAAATCTGGACTTCAGGATATGTTAACCTTATGGTTTTTGGGTGAAACTAGCAGCTGTGAAATGCAATTTAAAAAAAAAACAAAACACAAAACCGATTATATTACAGTTAGCTGCGGACGTTCATACTCTCTTTGCATGCGAATAAATATTTTTATAGCAATTCAAAATGTGTTAATCTATATATATTATATTAGCTTATACAAAGTAACACGAAAACGCCTTAACTGATTAAATCTGTGCAATTTTTATGTATGTTTGAATTGCATAAATAATGTCATGTAAATTTACAGAAAAAAAAATGGTTGATTGAATAATTTAAATAACATCAATTTTGTATTAACAAATTCTAGATTAAGGTGAATAATGTAGATTTTAATGTTATATTATAATGTCTATTATTATTTTTATACCTAGTGTTGTAGTATAATGTTATTATAGTTTTTGTACATAGTTACAAACTGAAGGTATAAAGATAAAAAGATATATCTGAATTAGTAAAAACGTAAATGCATATTATAATATACAAAAATGAATATCTTAAAAAAGTAATATAGTTTCTAAACTTTTATTATTTTTATGACCATGTAGGTACTAGGTATAGAGCCATAGAGGTACTCGTAATATTATAAGGAATAATTTTATTATTAAACATGACGTATTGGAAGAATATATTCTGTACTTTAAGTATTTCAAACGACTTTATAACCAAACTTTTTCAGGGAAATTTATATTCAAGTCATGAACAATATATAAAATAAATTACACGATTCAACAAATAATTATTTAAATCTAGAAAAAAAGACTGGAATGTTTAAATGATCAAATGAAAATTATATACCTACTTCTGATGATTTCGAATAAAATTGATGTCTACTACTTTTATCAAGGTAGAATATTCAAACAAAATCCAGAAAGTCGCCCTGCTGTATAGTAGGTTTGGAATGTACCTCGACATTGAGTAGGTAACTGTAACGGATGACACGATAAATAAATTCATATGATGATCGGCCAGCCTATATTTGCTAAGGATATTTTCTAATATATTTATATTGCTAGGTACTAAAGTTATTTATTTTTATATTTGTAAATTTTAATAAGGTACGTTAATATTAGTTATTCCCAAAAAAATAGCATATAATATTAATATTAATAATATTATAATATTAATAGTTGGAATTCACTTCTAGGTCAACAACCCATGTGAATATGACGTTTGGAGTATACATTTAGTTAAAATTAATCTAAATAGGTATTTTAAAATTTTCAGTATCCATAGTAAGTATTAATAAACGGAGTAGTTAAAAGTTTCAAGTCCCATTTTTTGAATTACAACGAAATAACTAAAAGTGAAGTGCATATGTATTTTTGAGATTTTTAAATTGCTCAGGATAAGGAAAACCAAAGATAAAGCTTATATTAAATTGTCTAGCCTGAGCCATTAAAATTGAAAATTGTATAAATGTCCAATTACAAAATGGTTTGATATTATTTTCGATATTTTTAAATTATAGCTAGAACAACAAGTATGAGAAATATTGTACTACATTTCCATGTATTTTTACTTACAACACAAATTGTAATATCATATACATTATACATATTTCGAAGAAAAACTAAAAGACGTACACAATTTTAAATGTCTAAAAAAATATTAGTGTAAATATTTAGTGAAAAATTCAAGTCTGCAGTTATTTGATTTTGAATTGCTATATAAAAAAAAAAAATGATGTTGTCAAAAACATGTTCTGCCTACAAATTGCAGGTTTTTCCGATTATTAAAAGTACTGTTTACTCACCAAAGTGCCAACTAGATCTAATTTGCTGCCAGATACCACCCTCAAAGTGAAAGATTGAAGCATTTTTACCGCTCTAAAAGGTGGCTATTAGGACAAAGAAAAGCAACCGTTGTTAATCGCTCCGCTTAGAGTTTGAAAATAACTAAATATAAAACAATATTGCTTGTATTATAGGTACCTAATTATTGTAATTATTTTTAAATGTATGGTGTAAGCATAATAATAAACTAGCACACTTGGTATAGTCTGTATATCTATTGTATATATTAAACATTATACAAATATGCAGTGTTAATTTATTAAACACGACATTTTAAGTTGCATTAAGATTATTAACAATAAGGATGGCTATGCACTGTGCACACTTGTCACTTGTGCAGAAAAATGTTTATTAAAAATAATTAATTGTATGGTTTATAGTGTATACCGTATGGCTTACGAAAACGGTCTCGGAAACTGAAATAAACCAGAAGCCCAAGTTAGTTTTCCGGATATATAACTTTTAGTTTTTTTTTTTTTTTATATGATAAAATATCTAATGATCATACTATGATATTCGTTGTAGAACAACCTTTCAATAACGAATTAATTCATTAGGATAAACTTACTTTTCCCACAAATGAAGTTTTCTTAATTGTGTACCTACTAAAACCCTATTGAGTATGATCATGGTATATTGACTATGGTTTTGTCTTTATTTGTCATTTTGTCAGAATTCGTCGATCCCTGTTTGTAGACACTCCTTGCTAATACCTGTTAAATAACTATTATCTGTTGCTACTCGTCGAAACCGGCACGATGCCTGTCTGCCAACACTTGTTGGTGTCTATCAATTCAATTAAATAATTGTTTTGAGGAAAACAAAATATCGTCAGGTTAAAAATCAATATCATGTACTTATGAAATATAAATAAAGCTTTATTTTTGTTTACAATTAAATTAAGTGAAAGACGGCA